AGAATAGTTGAGGTTGGAAGGCACCTATTTCGAATCACTTACTTCAGTTCCCAAGAGCTTGTTTTTATTAGTATATAGGTTAACATTTGCTGGAATGTCACCAAGGCATTGATGTATAGGACAAAGATGAAAACCAGAAATTTACCAGAAACTTCATTATGAACTACAGAATCATAGAACAAAGTAAAAGACAGAGAAGTCTTATGCAAGAAGATCTTACATTCCCTGCCCAATTCTGCCCACAGCAAATACCATCTAGGTGAAATGCAAAAACTTTGCTTCCCAGTGTGGTTTGTGCTGGTTTCCTACCTATTTAATATATTGGATTTACCTCTCCAAGCTCTCTGCTAGAAGTTTATTTCTCTGGAGGGAAACATCAAAATACTTCAGTTTAGGAGCTGACTGGATTACATGCATTAGTTTATCATCATCACAGAAACACATTCATAAATCTTACTGCAATGTCATTAGAATAAGATGTTCTGATTATGCATTATTAAAGCAGATGCTGCCATCTGCACTGCATTGTAGTGGAATAAAAATATGAATCACTATATTCAGGGACACTTGGCAAATATTTTCCTGTCAAATTAGGGCTTCTGAAATAAACTTTGGGTTGAAAATAGTGCAAATTGGAAACAAAATCACTCCATTGTATGAGCAGTACAGACATAAATAACAAGACAGCTCCAGCTAAGTCACCTCTGTACGTGGAGACCAACCAGACCTGTTTTCAGAAGAGGATAAAGTAAAACAGAAGTTCCCACATTCAGCGCTTGAAATCCAAATTAGAATTCAGCAGCTTAGAGTTATCTTTGGAAATTACTTTAACTGGCATACAATCCATTGATCTTAAAGAGTATGAAGACATAGCCAACAAGTGAATCATTCCCTATGAATATTCATATGTACTACATCCTTGCTCTAACAAAAACAAGACTCACAGTCACCATTTGATAAGCAACACTGGTAATGGAGCCAGACTTCGGACCTGTCTTTTTCTTCCATCCAGCAGGTCCTGACTTCGAGCCTTCAGTCTTATTTCACCCCTCCAGCCTAATTCAAGACTTTACTGAAGGAAAATCAGGCCTGCTGATCCGTTTTCTCCAAATTCACATCTGCTCCAGCAAACCATCATCAACTTAGCACCATGTCCTTGGGTGATATGCAAAAGACCTCTAGTACAATAAGCAGTTCCTGCTCTGTCATTGCAATTCCTTGGAAGTCAGATCCATCATTTACCATTCAAGGCATGTTGTCTGCCACATACTATTTGGTCACTGTCAGTTTTCTTACCTTTTCCTCTCTCTAAACCACAAAGTGTTCTATTTTCTCCAGTATTCAATTCTCAACTTTTATCTTCAGTTACTTCAAGTTTTACTTGTATAATTCAGCTAAATAGATGAAGACTACACTGCATTGTAACTTGACAGAAGCACATTATAAACATAAAATCCACAACTTGACCTAGACTGGCAATAGTGCCATTAGGATTTACCTTTTGTTTCTTTCAGAAAAGAATTATCTTTGTTCTCTGCATCAATGAATTTCCAAATAAGAGCAAAGTGTTATTGGGAAATGGTTTTATAGCAAACAAACACATGAAGATGCAGAGAAACACAAAAGGTAACCATAATGTTACAAGGTCATAAGAGACTTGAAATAAAAATGTTATGGTAAAACATACAGGCAGAGGCATCTAGCTACAAACAAAACAAAAAACCAAACCAAAACAACAAAAAAAAAGTACCTTGATTTTGTGGCTTAATGTGCACCTATTTAAAAGAATTATAAAATATGTAAAGAGGTGGCAGGAAGAAATTCAAGCTGTCACAGTTTATCAAAGACATGTTACCATCTCTGAGCTGGTGCTTAGACAAAGTTAAAGAACATGTTGTCCAAAGGTTGGAATCTCAGTTTCTGCAGCTCTTCAAAGTAACAGGTGAGCTGATAGCACAGAAGAGACAAGAGCAAACTGGAGAAAATTTTAAAATGATCTATTTTAAGCTTTCTAAACTTAAAACAGTTAAAAGCCATGAACTTCCCAATTTTTAATGGATCAAGTTACTGAAGCTAAATGATTTCATATGCATCTAGTGAACTCTGGTAACTGATCAAGCATGCCTCCAAGGGCAGGCATTACTGGCTAAACTCTATTCAGTAGCTCATGAGGATTTCAAGATTATAACTTAAGAACTTGAATTCACTGAATTCTGAGGATGACGTAGCAAACTCAGATGATAAACATCTCCAAAGATTTGAATGATGTAACTCCACTAACAGAAAAGAACTCTGAACCTAAACATCATCTTCCATTGCATTACTATTTCCACATTATTAGGTATTTCTGTAAAATGCAGAAAAGCCTGGCTTGGTACAGTATGTTAAATTATAACATGTTCGTATCTACACTGAGTGATCATTATCATAAAATACATTTCCTTATGCATAATTTCTCTGCTTTGATAAACACTAAATCCTCTGAAGCAAGAACATGGCTTCATGCTATTCATGTAAATATATATTTTTTGTGGGGAGGGAGCCCCACTGAGGCTCTGCATTAGCAAATGGCTATGCGCATACAAGTAATCTGACCAGGTCAAGGCCCTCATTTGTTTGAGATGAAAGGCTCAAACAAATCCCTAGCTGTGGGGAAAATGAACTAAGTTTCTGGTCTGTCTCTGAATAGTCTAATAAGAGTGAGAGGAGTGTCTAAGGATAAGTGCTTTACAGGGTTTTGTGGGAGTTTGTTAGTTTGTTTGTTTGTTTTGAAGAGACAGAGATCGGAAAGAGGCAAACAGGAAACAAGTTGGGTAAATGGGGGCTAGAAGCAGAGCTGCACCTGGGAAAAAAAAGAGGTGCATCACTATCTTTTGTTCTGTTTCATTTTCCCACATTTTCCATTCATAGCACATTCTCCCTCTGCTTTTCACCTTGTTTGCTGATCCTCAGTGTTTAAGGAAGGTGATTCCTAAGGTCTTTGCTTACTCTTTTCCATCTGTTCTCTTCCCATCCTCCGTTCAAACACACCATATCACATTAAATCACATTACGCTGCCCTAGAGCCTGCACAGACGGTCTATAACAGACTCTGTAACAGAAGCATGACAGAGGAAACGGAGAATTGACTCAAGAACCCAGAAAGCACTTATCTAGTCTTTGCCTACACCAATGTATTCTCCCTTTGGTTACACACACAAATAACTTTTCCACACTGCTGGTACTAGGTTAACGGTGAAGTGAGACCAGATACAGTAGGAGTGAGGGGAAGATAGTGCTTATTATCCCATATCTACTTACTCCTTACTTCCTTCCTGCCCTCCCTGCTTCAAGCATAGGCTTAATATGGATGGGGTTGCTGGAGTGAAATCAAGATGGTAGCAGCAGTGCCCTCTGCCACCATTCCTCTAATTTCTCAGCTTCCTGGGACAGGAGATGAAAGCAGCAAGGGGACATGGAACCAGGGAACAATGCTCCCAGCCCAATTCCTACCATGCTTCAGCCACACAGATTAACCAGTTTCTGCCCCCTCCCTTTAATTTGGCACTTTCCATAGGGCAGAGTCCCAGATATATGATAGATAAACTGCTATAAGTTTTGCCAAGACACTTGATTATAACTTGGCCTAGGTAAACAAAGCATTTAAGTTATCAAAAGCGATGCTAACATCAGCTTGAAACAGTTACAGGCATATCATTTGTGTCTACAACAGATATAAACATCAGCAGTAAGTGGCAAGATTAGTCTTGAGCTATTCCTCAGCCTTAGTCTTCTTACTGTGGTCTTGAAATTATTTGATGTATTACAAATCATTATTATAATTTTTTATACATTATTTTTTCATGATATTCTGGTACCAAGCTATATACTTGTCCTGAAGACAAATGTAAGGTTCTTTTGTGTTCTCCCTCTGCTCTAACTTACACTGGGTTTCCTTTAGGTTCAACAGGCCCTTAAAATTGCTTTCAACTATCAGCAAATGGAGAGTAAATCCGTATGATTTAAAAACAACCCATATTTGCTTAGGTTTGTCCCAATTTTGTCCTTTCACTCTCCTGGTATACTGAGTTCTACTCCAAGCATTTCTCCATTAGGAAGATACAGGGAAGCATAAAGATTTATTGGTTTTAGCTAAGTCCATACAGCAGATCCAAGTCAAAGTCAGGAACACAAGCAAAGTAAATCAATAAACCCAGAAAGCTGAAATTCAGCCTTCTTTGCTCTCCCATCAACTCTTTCCATGTTTCCACACAAGTTTCAGAACGAAGCCCTTCATGCACCTGTTCTCATACTCCTGTTTAAAAAAGCCCAAACACAACTAACCACAGAAAAGTGCCCCTCACCGTTGTCCCTCCTGCCAAAACCCTGCAATTAAAAATCTGAAATTGTGGAAAACCTTTATGACTATGGAAACACAATGTCCTGCACATGCATATCTTCAAAAGCCCATATTGCACTTCACCTATATACAGTCAGATCCTCAGTTGCTGACCTACCAAATTAATACTTAACATTTTATTTTGCCCAATGCAAAACTGAACAAACGGTCACACACAAAGCGGTGGGATTCCTTACCCTTCTTCTAGAGGTTAAGGGGGAGGTATTTTTATCACGGTAGCACGATAGCAGGAGTGCTGAATGATGAAAGTGGAGATCACTTGACATCTCCTCATACTCTTAGCTCCCTTATCTCTGTACCAGTAAAACAGCCCATTACAGCCAGCTTCATCCTCCAGCTGTTCTCTTCTGAACACCCTTTTAACTACCTCATTTCCCCCACATATCTCTTTTCTGAATTAATTTCTAATTACAAACCTTGGGGAGGGTGTGAGAACAGCTCGCTCCCACTTCAGAGAACTTGACTGCAACTGGATGTCACTACTGACAGCACAGCTTCTGGCTCGACTGCTCTATGTCAATAACACGGTTTATTTACTGAACTGCTAGCTAAACTCAAGTTTCAAAGCTTTGCTCGCTGCGAGAACAAATATTTAACTTACAGGAGCCGCGTCTATTTAAAAGTCCTCTCAGCGGGCACGGAGTCCTCAACTCTCCCAGCAATAGCAAAGCGTTAAGAAAGGAGAAGCAACAGGCGTTGTGGTCGCATCCGCAGCACGGTTCCTGAAGGATCCCCTGGTGGAAACCGGCCGAGGCGCCCCGGAGCCCGCCCGGAGCCTGCCTGCCCCGCCGACCTGAGGGGCTGCCCGCCGGCGCCTCAGGACAGCCCGGCCCAGCGCTCCGCCGCCTCAGCCGCGCTGAGGGGACACCCCCAAACCCTCCCGGGGCAGCGCCGCAAACCTTCCCCGCCGAGGCAGGACGTTTCCCCCGACCTCCCTCAGCACCGAGCGGCCTCCCCC